TCTCTCTCTCTCTCTCTCTCTCTCTCTCTCTCTATCTATCTATCTATCTATCTATCTATCTATCTATCTATCTATCTATCTTCCACCTGGAAAAAAATAAGTGGGGAAGACAAGAAGTATATAGATAGAAGAAGTAAGGTGGATATTATGAATCCATGGGAGGGGGAAACCATTATATTCTGTGGGGTTTTTAAAGGAAACTGATTGAAAGTGTTAGGTATTAGGTACTCAACGAGAGAGGCCAGTTCTCCTCTTTGTGCTTGTCTGTAGAAGGAATCTAGGTTGTAAGTGAGGGAGTCAGCAAGACAAGATGCCCCAAGCATCAAAGCAATACAAGGAGCAGATTAGGTGAGAAAAGGGATAGTACTGTGACATACGTAACTTTTGTCTTGAGCTGGGAAACGTAGAGGTAACGGCCTTTCTTTGAAAACTCTTCTAGATGTGCTCCCCTGCCCAGCTCAGGCAACAGACAGAAGAGCTTTGCGCAGCTATTGATCAGGTCTTGCAGGACCCCCTGGCAAAGGTAAGCAGCTCTCTGGAGCAGCTTTTCTTTGTGTGTTTTCTGCCTGCCCCCCCCCTCAGGTATAGTTTCTGTAACTGCACCCCCTGAACTTTTCTTCTCCCTCTTCTTAGCACCAACAGGATTCCTCTCCAAGGTCTCTGCAGAATTTGTTTGATTCAGATGTAGGCAAAGTAAGTGAACAGTATTCCCCGAATTCAAACCAAACCAATAGGCCATGGAAGTTTAGATTTTGTCAGTGGGAATTGTGCCTCTCTTTTCTCATCTTAAAAATGCACATGCTCTTGGTGTCGGCCCCCCCCAGGTGGTTTTTTCAATGGTTATATTGATATAATCTGCATATCTTCAATCCTCTAGACCAGCCATTTTCAACTCTTTTTTTGGTCTGTGGCTATAAAGATTATATAAAATTAATACAGACCAAATCAGGTTTATATATGTTGCATGATGAACCTTATAAAAGTGGTATGTGAAAAATGGTTTCCAGTCTGTGCTCCCTTCCACATGTGCCGGGGACCCCAGGGGGCCATATGACCCCTGTTGAGAATGACTGATTTAGATAGTAGTACATTAATGACTAGCAAATGTGAAGGAAAATAGTACAGTATATAGTAACAGAAAAATTGAATTAGGTAACACAAGAACCAAATTTACAACCCTCCTGACTTCTATGTTGAAACATTTCACACTTGGGTTTGTATTCTAATACATTTTTAAATGCACATTTGCTGAGCACTGTTTTGCTGCTGAGAAA